ATGGACCTATAATCCCGAGCTCTAATAAAATTAATAATTAATTAAACACTTTAATTAATTAATTAATTCTATTAATTCCAATAGTAAATCCACTATAAACTTGGAATTGAACTCTCAAAATATAGATATTAATTATTTCTAAACTGTTAAGTGTCCATTTGATATAGTCATTACATATAGATCAATCCTCCATAAATAATTCATAATTAGAGTTAGGTAGAATCTGTTAACCTCTCTAATTATATCTGCATCCTTGAGTACCATTGATTCTCTAATGGATAGTGATTCATAAAACACATTCATGAACCAGAGCGCTCTTACTAATCCAAGTACCGAATCAACACCCAAGAGAATTATTTATCTACTTCTTTCTCAAGAAGGAATGGATTCCATCTTGTATAATAACATTCCTAGCTACCTATTTTATCATGTCTCCAAAATACAAGGAATAGGATTCAGGGTCTCAGAATCTGTACCGAGTAAATCAAAAGACATAAATCCATAAATAGGAGTTTGTTAAGAACTCATGATTAAGATCATTCTATATATGAACATCAGTAGACTCAATTAGAATTTCTATGCTTTAACGAAAATTATTAGAAATTCATATTGTGTCTGTGTCCTTGTTCCACACAATCTCATTATGCGAAATACATTCATTCAATATCTCACCATATTAATAGTGCGGATAGCACCATTCCATTCTAAATGGGAATGACATGTATTAATAATGTTTTAATTAAAGATTCTGAACTTTAATTAAATTCATTATGAACAATGTTTTTTATTATTATCCTTAAACACTATCATCTTGTATATAATACTTATGTACTATGTTTAAGGTTACATAAATAATCACAGAATTTTCATTTGATATTCATAAAATATTCATAAATATGTGCACATAAAATGATAAATAAACTCTTTTATTAATTAAATAACAAATATCTTATTACATCTTATGCTTCTAAGACACTATTCCCAACACAAACATCCCCACACTTTCAAGTATTTGTAGGAAGGTTTCCTTCCTTTCCACAATTCATAGGGAGTCTTATCGATTTTCTTATGTGGAACCTTATTTAAAAAGTAATTAGCTGATAAAATGGCTTCCCCCCACATGTTTTATAGTAACCCAGAACTCATTAACATTGCATTCATTATATCCATTAAGGTATGATTTTTCCGTTCAACAATGCCATTTAATTAGGGAGAATATGGTGGTGTGACTTCGTAAATAATTCCATGTTGTGCGCAAAGCGCACTAAATGGTTCGACATATTCACCACCTCGGTCACTTCTTACTATCTTAATCTTTTTATTAAGTTGGTTTTTAACTTCTTGCTTGTAGAGAGTAAAGTTCCCTACAGCTTCATCCTTACTTTTTAGCAAATATACATAGCAATACTTTGTGCTATCATCAATGAAAGTGATAAAATACTTATTACCACCTCTAGTTTGAACAAACTTTAAGTCACAAATATCACTATGTATTAGATAAAGTGGTTCAGTATTCCTTTCTATCGTTTGTAGAAAACATAAATTGAATAAATATTATCAATTTGACAAAATAGGAGCTGCCAAAGTTGAGCAGAAGGTATGAATATAGCATACCTAATACGAAAACATTTTGTATGCATAAATCCTGTACTACCACCAAGACTTCTCAATTTTATTAGGGTTGTTTCTTTGTCAAAAAAAATAATGCCTTTTCAATCTTCCTTTTGTTTCCATGGCCTGAAAATAGTAGACAACATAAGAGAAGACACAAAAATATTCCCCCTGGTTGAGGGACTACTTTACCTATAGGATCCTACTTTTCTATTTTATAACAACTAAAACAAATGTAGAGCTGCAAGAAGCATAGCTCAATAGCTCATCAACCTTTCCACCTTATGATCCTGACGTATAAGTATACCGAGTCTGAGCTCCCATGAGAAGCTCAACAACTTTCCCTGCACATACCAATAAGATTACCTTCGATTAACTGTAACAATGAAGACGGAACAAATAACAGAAAAATCTTCATCAACCACACCTGTAAGAAACCCGATAACAGGTACAGGTTCCAAGATCTTCTCGGTGCTTTCGAGTCTTTGCCTGAAATGTTTTAACAATGATGGTCAGGAAACTTCAAGAGGAAGAAGTAGCAAAATGCAACTTCTACAAAAAATGTTGGCCAACATCTGAAATTTATGGGTACCTGATATACTTGCTAAAGAACGGATCTCTCAAGAGGTAAAATGCCCACAACAGCTTTCTTCTTTTAATCTGAATCATACCACAATATTGAAACATATTTAGCATCAACTCTAGCATTAAGAGAGTGGATATTGCCAATGAAAAGTTACTTTTCCAAGAAGCGGATTGTGACTAAGTATGACTTATTCAAAAGTAGGATTTAAGAGTGCAAACCTCATGCTGCTCTGCTTCAGAAAGATGAATTTTCTCTTTTTTACCATCCTCTCGTGACGTGACATGTGAAAGAATTCCCATTCCTATGAGATCCACAGCCAACGAAAAAACCCAAGGAATCCACGAACGAACTCCATATTTCCGGATAAATGCAACATAAATAAGGGGTCTTGTGATAAATAACACTTCCCCAGCAACAAACAAAGCCCCACGAAAACCCTTTTCAGCCAATATTGTCGAAAGGGTTCGCCTTTCAACCACTGGGCCTGTAGGGAA